AGGTTCAGAGAGGCTCGATGATACCTTGGCCGAGCTAGAGATATTGCTCAACGTCATTCTGCACTGTCGTGTTAACTTTACAGGGACACTGAGCTCAGATTTTCCGATCCCATATGAGGCTATCTAAAGTTGCTTTGACCAAATCTACTTGTGTCTAGCTTTAGTCTTTTTATTCGAATAATTGAAAATTATTCATTGAATATTTTTCTGTCATTGATTTATAATTGTTTCTGTTTTCATATATCGTATATTCATGAACTAATACATATTAATTTTTTACAACATAAGTTCTTCCGTTTTCTTTTTGACATGCTTAGTATCCAGGATGATGCCTATAGCCTTAGTAGTATTATGGTACAGGATTTGTACTATGAAATCATTCATGAATAGTGGAAGTTGTTTATGTGTTGTGAAGTAAATATGGACTGATGTAGTTTCGCTCAATTTTATGTTTCATTTGTTAGTCTATTCGACGCAGTGTTCATTGTTGTGTAGAAAATGTGTAATAAGTTTGTAAGAAATAAATACAATATATGCATAAAATAAATTTCAAAAAACTAATTTAATAAAAATTATTAAATATATTAATAATTTGCTTGACAATATACTCTATACAGTAAATCTGAGTTTAATATCAGTGGGTCTGTTGCATATAAAATGCGTTTATGAAAAAATTGACTGATATTATTGCGTCCTGGCAAATATGTCAGTGATAAAAACTAAACAGTTTCGTTATGTTACTAAAGTTCGAAAAACCTTGTCTTTAGTTTTTACATTTCAAATATACATTTATATTTATATATGGTATACGGCGTGCCAGGATTTTACCAAAGGGAATTTTCTATAACTTATAGTATAAAAGGGGACTATTACCTATTACTTTGATTTTTTATTAGTAATGTGTTAGTAATTTTATATTAATAAAACTTTTGTGGAAATATCTTATTATTTAAAATTTCAGGGATATTTCTGAATTTCTTAATAACCTTAAACTTTGTTCTCTCTAAATTGTTAATTATTTCATTGTATATAAAACCAAATTTTATTGTAATTTTTTTCAATCAAATTATTTATGAAACTTTTGTTTTCGAATACTTTTAATTTTTTTTATAAAATATTACATAAATATTTTTGACATCCTTGGGGTCATAACATACGCTCAAATATGCATTAAAATTCGTTTTTCAATTGCATAAGAACGGGCCATATTTTTAATCTGTTAATGTTTTTATTTTCACTTTATTGACATTTTTAAAATTATTGTAGAGATTTTTTACGAATTTTTTTACTTAATGCCTTGTCATCCTTTCATTTTAGCCGGTTGTGAAAATGGTTGCTCCCGCCACGGACAGTGTACCTTGGAAAATGGCGAATATCGCTGTGATTGCATTGATGGTTGGGCAGGCTCCGATTGTTCGATTGCATTGGAAATGAACTGCAAGGACAATATCGACAACGATGGCGGTAAGTGAAATATTTCTAGGCTTATTTTCAATTAAAGCTTTTTAACTAATTCCATTTGATATGAAACTATATATTAAAAATATGCAATAGTTAAGTATTCTATTGCACACAAGTCTTTATTATTCCATATATAAATAAGTAGTCGTTTTTCTGAAAAAAATTGAAAGCAAACCTTAAAATATTCGTCACACCCAAACCCACAATGTAAACTATATCGGCTTTGCACTCTTAACTTACGTAATTGAATTAGAAACATAACAGAAGGGAACTGCACCCAATTTTTCTGTTGAAATAATGTAAACATCCTTTTTATTGAACGAGAGAACACTGACAATTATAGACTGAAATATGAAAGGCTTTTCGAAAGTCCATAAAGTAAATTTAATTGAAGAAATTAAATTGAATATTGTTTTATATAATATGCGATATTTGCACAAATGCCTGTTTGTTTTATGGGAAATATATTTTATGTTCGTCTTTACGGCAGTTCTATTTAAGTTGCTAGTGTTGTAGCTGCAGATAACTTAAGTGTTTACATTTACAATATTCATTGAAAGGAAAGCTAAAAGTATTGCTTCGTAGGTATCAAGTGGCAGAATAAATACCACTCACATATGAATATATATATGAGTACATACAATGAAATATGGAGTACCTCTTGCTTATATTAATGAAATGTCTAATGTAGTGGGCCTAACATTTCAGAAATTCCATTAACAATCTTTTCCAAAAGCTTTTGGGAATAAACTTGAATCCGAACTGAAATTGATTTTCTTTATTTTCGATTTTTTTACTCGATTTTGTGAGCACAAATGATTGAAAATAAATAAATAAAATTGAATAAACTAACGAGCAAACGACGAAAACATATAAAGAGCATTTCAATCAAATTTTTGTTTGCAATTTGATAAGAATTGCATAAACCAATTTATTAAATAAAAATACACAACGTATTCCCAAATGTATTTTATAGTTGAAAATTAAATTTCCAAAAATACTCAACATCGCCAGTTGAAAGTTTAGTCAACATATGAAGTAAACATTCTCGTATATGTTCTCATATATATAAAAATGCTTTTTTCACATGCTTTTTCCTTAATTTATTTCATCCTATCTGCGTCTCTAAATTTGTAATTTAGGTTTACCTTTCCTGTTTCTTTCAAAGTGCAGTGCACTTTTACTCTCGACATGAATGCAACCAATGAAGATATTGTGGTTGATAAGTTGGAAGGACTCAAGGGATAAGCAAGTAGAATAACGCCACAATAGAAATATAAATTGAAAAAGTTTGTTGTTATTTATTGTTACACGACTATATTATTATAAATATTCTATATTAATTTAAAAACTTTACATCATCGAGTGGAATTCTGGATCACCTCATAGTGATTGCATGAACTTAATCCCATAATGCAATGCAAATGAAAGAACTTGTGATTTTTTTATAACTATTTAGTCTTCCAAAGTCTTTAAATGAAATTTAACCCATTTTTGAGGAAAACTGTTATTTCTAAATGGATTCTACTTTTGAAATATTTTATTTAATTTTAAGATTTTAAAGTGATTTCAAGTTCCTGAAAAACTACACTAGTTATAAATTACTTTCGACATGAAGCCTTCGGGTCAAAATACATCACGATTAAAATACATGTGTGTTTTGCGATGATTTTTTTATTTTAGTAACACTAGGGAAAATTAACCTAAATTGAGTAATTTGTGAATTGACATATTGTTTAAGGTTTGTAATTTTTCTAAAAATGAGTAATTGGCAGCCCACCTATACTTACTAATACTAATGCCTATATATATCGTCAATTCAGCTGCATTTGGAATAAAACCATCAGTTCCTTATCATTCTGGTACTCATTATAGCTCATTATAAACTCAATATACCCAACTGCCAATGTGTTTAGTTCTTTATTTCTCAGCTGTCAATAAGGTCGTAGTAATTGCTACAGATTATGTATTTACGTCATATCAACTTGGATAAAATCTCTAAACAAAAAACATTCAAAACATTTTGTATAAGATGTGGGTAAATACATCGTAGCTCAAAAGTTAATAATATCGTGAACAGCAAGTAGTAATACATGGAATGAAATCGTGAATGTTAATAAAGCACATTTTGATCTATTTCCTGTGTCAATATATTGTTTGGGCTTTGCTATTAAGTTTGAATTACAACATTATTCCAAGTCCATCACAGGAGATCTTATAGTAGTAAATGCTTTTGAGGTAATTTTCTGTGATTTATCAGCAAATTGATAACGATAGCTTATTCATAACCCCATGGATGTTCATTCTCAAAGTGTCTGAATTATAAGAAGATCCCACAAAAAGTCCAGTACTAACAATCTTTATAATCCTGGTGGTTAGTTAATATAATAATTTTGTGAAATTACACGTGCCTGAATTTGCTTGTGTTAGACTACCACCGTTTAGTATTTTCTAAACCAGTAAAGATATTGAAGAAAAATATTTAGGTTTCAACAAAGTCTTTAAATATAATTTTTGAGATAGATTTCGTTTTGGATGTTTTTATAGTTCTCTCGGCTTACCAGAACCACTCTAAAAGAAAAATAAAATTTGGTGTACTAAATACTTGTACTATATATCTAAGGTCGCAGAAGTTTCATGATATTCCGCCAACTGCAACACCGACATCCATAAAAAATGTTCACAAAAAATTGTTTATTATTATTAAAAAGACACCTTTGGAACACAGTTTTAGTTTAATATGTGAAATTAACTAAATGTAGTTGTTACTAAATAATGCATGGAAACTATAGTTTTTTTAAACAAACGTGTCTGGGATTGAATTATCTTTGTTAATAGATAATGTTGAATTATCATTGCCAACAATTATTGGTTCAATATCACTTTTGATTGACCATAAAGACTTTAAAATGACCCATTGACTATTTTTTGTTAACACTCAGTTTACTTTGTAAAACTGTTATTAATAATATTACTGGAATATATATTTTCATGCTCTTATTCCACATATTGTATTTAATATGTAAAAGCAAATTAAAAATGAAACAACCAGAACAACTATAACAAAGCCTGAAGTTAATTTTTTTTTCTTTTTGGCTAGTGAAGACAAATAAACACTTTAATTTGTACTTGTATATTCCTTGAACAGATATAAAATCTGCAACTGATTGGAATATGTTTATCTTTAGAGCAAATATTGAGATATTCGCAATTCTTCAACTTAAAGAATGTAAGAAAAAAACCATCACAAATAAATGGGAAGTATGCTTCAAGTGTCATAGAGGCTTGTTTCCCTTAAGAAAATTCTAAGAATAAGAAGGTGTAAAAGGAAATAAACGGAAATTGAAATCAACTTAAAAGTGTGCAACTTATTATTGCTGTTTTACAATAACGGCAATAGCACCAGTAATAAACACAACAATAACAATAACAATAACAATTGTAAGCACCACTTTGTAACATTTTAATATTGTCGCCGTACAAGGATCAGTAAGGACGTACATAAAAAGGTAATATGAAATGAAAACTAAAGAGATCCTTGTTAAAACTTCGAGCAAGCAACCAAGCATCGAAGCAGGCAGGCAGGCAGGCAGGCAGGCAGGATATTGAGTGTAGGTAAAAAATCCGTTACAAATAATGCATTTTAAGTGAGTTTGAAGAGTTGCGACAGTATCCGTATTGAAGTCCTTGCATTGAGTACAAAAACAATAACAGCGACTACAACTACAACAGCAGAAAGCAAAACATGCCAAGTAGCATTGGTGAAATGCTATATACACAAATGTATCGCCTCATGTATGGTATGTATTTGGTTGGATGTGCGATTCTTATACAATATTCACACGGGAATTCCTGCATTCGGAAGTGTTGAGCAAAAGGGTTACGTACAATTTAATACGTGTCACATGCTCAACGTGCGCCTTCTTCATATGCTCCAATCGGAATTGTCATGCAGCAGGTTACGTGATTCCATAAACAATGGCAGGATATGTAAACTACGTAAGCCATCTTAAACGTGCATGAAGAAAAACCGAATCAGCGAGGGGAAGTGATTTGAGTTTATGTTTTTAAATTAGCATGAAAGTAAAGAATCTATTTTCACATCGAATGACTTGCGTTAAGCTGCCTAAAATGTGCTTGTTGAGCGAAGAAATCATTTGCATGAACAGATGAACAGTTGAACAGATGAACACTTCAAAGCATTTCATTCGAATATGTTTTATAAATGTGCCCACTTTGATTGCCGCTTAAGAGGATCTGAAATTATTTCACAGCAGGCAAGAGACTACTTATGAACACTAATAAGTATGAAGATAAATTGAAGACATTAAGAGTTTTTATTACATTACACGTATAAACATGTTTTCATATCCTTAAGATACTAAAACTTCTTACATATAATAATAGAGTTGTAAATAAGTACTTTCTTCAATAATCACACTATTAAAACTTCATTAAGTTATTAAATACTAGCAGTGATTATGAATTTATATCATAATAATATATATAGGTTATAAAATCGAGAATTCATTTATTTAATATAAATTTATTTTATAGATGGCATGACCGATTGTTCGGATAGTGAATGCTGTTCGCATCCTGCTTGTTCCGAGCATATTATGTGTCTCTCCTCAAATGATCCCGTTGAAGTACTTCTACGGAAACAGCCTCCTTCCGTTACGGCTTCCTTCTACCAACGAGTAAAGTTTTTGATCGAAGAAAATTCGGTGCAATCCTACGCTCACATGGACGAGTACAGTGAAAAGTGAGTAGAAACGTTTCGAATTTATTGTTTTCCTTAAAATTTAGAAGTTTTTGAGTTATAAAAATACCTAGAAATTTACTACTTCTTTCAAAGAGGATTTTAATTTTTCTATAGATAATACTTTTCATATAAATTATTATTTGAATTGTTTTTATTTGATGAATGCACCAATTTTTGAGGGTTAAATGAAAATTTAAAGCAATTAGGTTTTAATAAATATATAATTTACCATTTTTGTTTAATTATATGTATTCTAAAAAACGATTTGCTGGTGCAATGAAGAGAAAAAGCTCAAATTAAATTGATTTTTATTTTAATTTTAATTAAAAAAACTGCAAAAAAACGAATTTTATGCTTTGAAATTTTGTTGAATGAGAAAGAAAGGATTTTTATATATTGTTTTTAATTTAAACTTTAAAAACACAGTCAATGATTCAATATATTGAAATGATAAACCTTATATCACATTCCACTACTCCTACCTGCTTCCCCTCAATGAGTCTATCATTTATGCGTTGGATTTAAAAAAAAAAAATCAAGCAACACAATTTTTATTTTATTTTCTCTACTATCCGATTTTATTTCCTTTTTTCTTTTTTGTTTGTTCTATAACAATTAAAAATTTCAAGTTTTTATTTTTTATAATTTTGATCTTCAACAACTTTTAAAAGTAGCACTCAAAATCGATTTTCTAAAAAAAAAATTAATTTTGTTCGAGCTTTTTCTTTTCTTGCCTCTGTAGGATGAATAATTATTATGAACGACTTTCAAATTTAATTTTTCGAATTTTTTTTTTGTTATTCTTAAAAAAATTTTAATTTTGTTTGTTAATTTTTTTCCAATTATTTCTGACTCGTAAATATCCAAAGCGATAATAATGATAGCACTTCATTGAGTATGTGTGTTGTCTAGTGTTTTACCTCCTTGTGTTCGTCTAACCCCAAAATATGTAACTAAAAAGAAAATAAGAAATAATAAAAACCGATATATAAACTTATGATATAATAAGAAAATTATTTATATTAGAGAAGATGTATAAGATGTATACGAAATAATCATCAAGAGACAAGAACAAATTGAGTGCGAAACAAAAAAAATGACAAAAAAAAACTAAAAAATCTAGCGAAAAAATATTTTTAGAATTTATTAATTTTTTTAGTGATTTTTTTAAATACAAAATTTGATCCTTCATTATAAAATAATTTTTCTATATATAATTTTCACAAATATAAAATACAATAAATATTAAATAAGTAAATATAAATAATTATTATAATTTTTTAAAGAATATAACTATATTCCTTCAAAATCCTTCAAAAACTTCAAACTTTGAATTACAAAAAAATTCACACAAAAAAAATTTGTATAAATTTGACACGATTTCGATTTCCAAGATAATGGATCCAAATCGGCAATGGATCTTAGAAGATGAAGATGATATATTGAAATTGAAAAAAAAATTGATGCGATTCCATTCCTCGGTTACTTCGATTTGATAACGGATTTTAGTATCTTCAGTTTTTCAGAACAGCAAAACAAATCACAGTAAGCTGTGTACTGCTATAGCTTACTGCTAGCGATATCGGGATTTCAAGTTGAAAACTTCTTACGTTGAATCCCAACTACTAGTATAAGCAATATTTACATTAACTAAACAAACGACGATAAACAATACTAGATATAATACTAGATCAATCAATTGCCGGTTTTCACGTAACAGTTTTCAACTTTTAAGCCAGACTTCTTAAGAAGTAAGCTATATTGACATATGTCTTAGAGGGAAAAAGCTGTTTGTGCTTACTAAAAACCAATTGTCATGCCAGGTAAATCGGAATCGTGTCGAAAACACAGTGAAGTTAAATTTTCTGTAATTATTAAAGTTAAATATTTTTGATGTAATCTCTCTTTCAGTATTTTGTTTACTTTATGCAATTATAATCATAAAAAAATATTTCTCAATTTAATTTGATGTGTAAACTAAGTTTTTGCTTTAAGAGAAACAAAAAAAAGATTTACAATATTTTTATAATTTTTGAATAGATGGAAGATTTACCCTTTCTTTTTTCAAAAATCCATATAAATACAGTATGTTTGCATAAATACTTATTCTTTAATGTGGAATTTATTTCTGTGAAAAAGAATCGGTTTTAGTCCAAAACGGAATGACTAATTTTTATATACACTTATCATATTTATCATATTCATAGCAAAAGATTTTATACAGAAATTTTCAATGTTCCATTAAAATTTATTCCCAATTAAAAAAAAATATTATTAATTTCATTATATTGAATTTAGTTCAATATACCATATATAAGGATCAAATTTTGCATTTTTTTCTTTTTCTAATAATAAAATTGTTTACTCTTCGTTTGCCTTCTTTATTAATTTTTTATTAGTAAAGCAAAAAAGCTAGATATTATTATTTATTGAAATTGTAGTTTTATTATTTCATTTTTTTTTATCAAGTTTAAGGATAAACTGCAATACAAAGTCGTCTGGTTTGATATCTTAACATCACAAGTGTACTTTTTTGTTGTTGTTTATATATAATTTTTATATTTGTTTATTTGATTATTGAAAAAAGTTTGTTAATAATTATTTATATGTAAAAAAATTAAAATATATGTGAAATGCATTGCATATTAATATGTTATTGTTTAATGTGTCTTAAGTCTGTTAGTTTTAAGTCAAAAATAAATCACAGATACTAAAAAATTAATACCAGAAAGTGAGGACTTGCAAACCAAGGAGAACCTGAATTAGTAGTAAACAAGGATATAAAACAATTTTCGATGTATACAGTGCTAAGTTTTTTATTTTAATTAAATAATTTTTTTTATTTTAATTTTTATTTAGTTCAATGTGCGTGTCCATTTTTTATTTCTTTATTAAATTTAGTTCATTTCATAATAAAATTATTTTTAGACTTACATGTTTTTATGCTAACTTCTACTAACAATAATGTAATAAAAACCTAAGAGAAAAAATTTTATAATATATAATGGAAAGAGAACACAACAGAGTGTGCGAGTGCGACAGCTTAAATATATGTGTGCTTGTCAAATGTTCTTTTTTGTTTCGTTTTTTTTTTCTGAAGTTGTGAAGTTTATTTTTTTTAAGCAAAAAAGTAAAGTCCTAGGCTTTTCGCCTAAAGTTTTGCTTTCTTGTATTTCTGTTTTATGTTTTTAATATATTAATAAGCAAAATAAAAATAAAAAAAAATATTTGTTATTTATAAAACGAAAAGAAAGCGAATATATAATTTTTTAACAAATACATTTTTGTCTTTGATTTCTTTTGTCCTGTCTTTAATGTAAACTGTACTCTGTTGCTGTGGCTCGAAATCTTCAAATTACGCGACATATAAATAAAATATATCAACTAAAATTACTAACTTAAACGTTTTCGCATTTTAAATGCTATAAATTCCAAATAAAAAATAAAATAAAAAACTAAAAACTGAAATAATTTGTGAAAATGTAGTCTCTTCTGGAGCTCGTTCACACCTTGGTAAGTTCATATGGAAGCAACGATTGAAAATTTTTAAACATTTAATAATAACACAAACACTTCTAAAATATCAGAAATAAGGTTTTTTTCATTTTATATTAAAAAATGTAAATCATAATTAATTATTTCGATTTTCGTATATGCAAGCCGTGTTGCTTTTTAATTTATAATTTAACTCAGGCACCAAAAGTAAAATATATGGCAAGTTCCGAATATATTTTAATTTTGGTGTAAAATTTAATAGTTAAATTGCAAATTCCATTTAAACTCATCTGACTGTAAATATTTATGCGAAATTCTTTTAAAGTTTTCTAAACATTTTGATTATATTTTTTTAATATAAATACTCTTATATATAAAATTTATAAAAATAAGAAGAAAAAAAAATAAATTAAAATTTTATTTCATACATTCATGTATTTTTGTATGTGTTACGTGTTCGTGTCTATGTGTACTTTGTTTTATATTTTATTATTATAATTATTATTATTATTGATATATAATTTTCATAAATTATTTATTAAAAACTCGTATAATTTCTTTTAACATACTAACATAATAACATTTTGTATTATTTGCTTAAATATATGTGATCATTATTTTTAAAATAAATACTATTCAATTATTTATATGTACTTCTTAATATTATATATATAAATATATATATATTTTTCTTTTTTTTAAATCTACAACACAAAAGAAAATTCAAATCACAACAACAAAAAAGTTCACAAAATATAATTTTCTCACTGCGTTTAGTTTTTGAGTGTAACAGAGACAACGAACATGCATTTTAGTTTTCTAACATTTTCCGTTTCAAGATATTAATTTTTTTTTTGCTTTTTAATAATTAATAAAATCATAAACATAAATTTTTATTTATCTTTTGGCAAGTGTAGTTACAATCAAGGAACCGAGATATTTTTATACTTATAGCAAAAACAAACAAACAAAAAAAATATTATAAATAATAAAAAAAAAACGACAAACAAAAAAAGAAATGTTATCCTTATATGTTGAAACCCTTTCCATAAAAGAGTAAAAATATGTAATATTTTGTATATTTTGATTACCCCCACCCCACTTCCTATTTGTCTGCGTCTAATTCATTTGTTTAACTGTTTTCCACAAACTCACAGAATCCAATCAACACAGACATTAATATTATTATTATTTTTTATACTCTTAATTTTTAATTTATCCTTTGTTTACACATTACACATACTGAAACACTCACATTCACACTCAACTCACACTCACACATACACATGTGTATATTTACAAATCCCTTTACAGTTTTTTCTTTCCAAATTCTTTTATCTTTTATAAAACAGAAATTAATTTTAGTATATATTTTTTCAAAAGCCGAACGTGATATTTTCATAGTAAAAAATGCAGCGGCAAATATTTTAGAGAAAAAATTATGACAAATATTTTAATATTAAAAATCATAAAATATTTAATATCTGTAGAAAATTAAATAATAT